AGATCTGCGTACGCAACGAAGTTCTGGGGAAGGGAGATCATTCCCTCCACGGAGTTAACGTGGAAATCGAGAGCCCCGTCTCAATGCAAATTCTTCACGTGGCTGGCCCTGCGAAACAGATGTTGGACGTCGGACCGGCTAGCTAGGAGGGGGCTGCCACATCAGGTCAATTGCCCTTTGTGCGACCAAGAGGAGGAAACCATTGATCATGTGTTGCTAACATGCGTCTTCGCTCGTGAGATTTGGGTGGCGATTTGTACGGCTCTGGGAAAGCCGGAGTGGGCACCATCTACGCAGGATGCTCTCAAGCCGTGGGTTTGTGACAAGCAAGCGGCTGCTAATGTGGCAAGGAAGGATCTGCACGCTATACTGCTTCTCACGTTGTGGGAGTTGTGGAAGCATAGAAACGCGATTGTCTTCGATGGTGCTTTGCCATCAGCTAGTCAACTGATCAATAGAATTGTGAACGAGGGTAGAAGCTGGTTGATGGCGGGGCTCTTCAAAGGCAATGTAGAGGCTGTGTTTGCAGGCTTAGTTAGGTGGACGAGTGGGGAGTAGTAGTCTAGTTAGCGTGTGCGATCGTGCGCGATCGTGCGTGAGGTGGAGTTGTACATGGTGTTTGTCACACCTTTGTAAATGACTGCTCAAGGCTTTCTATGCCTTTCCTTCTTTAATATATGACTCGTGCATATTCGAAAAAAAGATTTGAATTTATATAAAAGTACTACCCCCTCCGTCTCATAATATAAGAGCGTTTTTGACACTAGTGTAGTGTCAAAAACGCTCTTATATTATGGGACGGAGGGAGTATAAATCAAGGGGCTTGGATAGGAATATTGAAACCGACATGTACAAGCTGTTCATTTGCCAAACTGTTCTAACCGAAATCAAATGATACTACAGGTGCATCTTAAAATTCCTCATACGCATTACTAGAGTTGAATCTCCCTAGAATTAATTTTAGATTCTTGAAAACAAGTTTCAGGTAAGAACTACCAAAAGTAGAAACCTTCACTTATCATCCTTCAGCGAAAGCTTGGCGGTGATATCTAGGATACCCATCTCCATGACTTTTGGCCACCCAAGTTGCCGCCTAAAAGAAACAAAAGGAAGGTTTCATGCGAAAATCCTCATCTGAGCTCAGGCTCAGATGCTCCCACTCAGAAAAAAAATTCAAAACAAATATAAAAATATTCAAAAAAATCCAATTTTTTGTGTAGTAGATAATTTGTTGCGTGAGGACCGCTGCAAATTTCAACTCCTTTGGACATTTGAGCAGCTCTCGGCAAAAAAGACAAATCGGGTCAAAACAGTTTGTGAACAGTAAACTTTTTTACAGACCCTGATTTTGTCTTTTTTGCCGAGAGATGCTCAAATGTCCAAACGAGTTGAATTTTGCAGCGAACCTCACGCATCAAATTATCCACCACACAAAAAAATTGGAATTTTTTGAATTTTTCTAGTATTTATTTTAATTTTTTTCGTCAACGCGGGTGCAGCTAAGCCCGGGAGCCAAATTGGCCTTCTCGGTTTCATGTCACAACTTATATTAAGAAAAGAACAGTGCAACACATGACAGTGCGTTGCTCCTCTAAATTTGGGAACAAATGTTTTTGTGGCACAACATGAAGCCAAGGCGAATGCTACATATTTCAGAAATATACAGAGAAAACTGACCGTTCTTTCAGATTTTAGGAAGCAAGCTTAGCAATGAGCTCCTTCAGAAGAGAAGGACAGGTTCTAGTTATGTCCTCCAAGCCGTCAGCCGCCGTTATCTCCTTCAAATTGGCGGGAGTCTTGATGAATTCAAAGCAAACCTCCTTCAACCCATGACAATTATGCTGCTCAGCTAGAGTAAGAATAGTCGTCACCGAGCTCACATCTATGTGAGAGCACAGCTTTTCTTCACATAGTCCTTTGAGCCTTTGGAGATCATATCTATCCGCTGCTGCAAGCAAGTGTTGCAGCCACAATGCTTCCTGGGCTTCTCCTTCCTCACCCCCCATGTCTATCTCCATCTTGGGCAGCGAGTCGGTGTAAATAAAGTCAAGCAAGGACCTAAACACCTTTGCTTCCATGTCTTCTACATCTATGACACTTGCTACAGTGCCCTCCTTCATGGAGCCAAGCAGCTCCGCCTTGAAAACCACAGACCGAGCTGCAAGCACGCATCGGTGGGCAGCGAACTTCTGACCGGACACCATGAATGTCACGTCCGTGCCCTCCTCGGACAGGAAAAGGTCGCTGATATGCTGTTTTATGCTAGAAGGCGGCACCTTGATGAGGAGATCAACTGTCGTGGCAATGGCGACGTCACAGCGGATGGTGAAACAATCATCTTTTAGATGCTTTGATTTCTCAAGGGCGTCTCTTTTCATGAAATTCCTGTAACCCCAAGAGGGGTGACAGCTGGAGAAATTGTCTGCCTTTTTTGCACGAATATATGTTGAATCTTGCTTCTCAAGCTCGTCGATGAAACTAAATCCAAACTGTACCTTCAGACGCTCCACGGCATTTTCATCGAGAAGAAAATAAAGAGATACAGAGTCCGCACACTTTGAGCGGTCGCCATTAAGATAGTAGCTGATGCGCCAACGATGACCTCCTATCATGAAAGGGAGAGAGAGGATGTTTCTGCGATTAGGTGTAATGGCTTTGATGTGCGAGTAGCGGTTAACCACGAGCAGGTGGTACCCGCTGGCCGCGGAGACGTTGATGGCGTGGCCGACGGCCTCGCCATCGCCGCCGACGAGAGAGACGCCGGCAAATGACATGGCAGATGAGCAGAATATATAACTGAAATATGAACTGGACTACGTGGGTGAACTCGTCAGTACTGCCGCTCGAGTCTTCCTCGTGCGTCCAAATCGTGGAAACTCGGCCGACGCTCGTACAAGTATTTCGTCAGAGTTCACGAACAGGATTTGGTCCTCTGCTAAACTATTTGCTTCTGTCAATGGTTGACTCACATCATGCTTTCCGTGTATATATAGACGCGAACATACAACACCATAACACAATAGGATTCTAACTTGAAGCCGTGACGGACATGAACTGTACCAACACACGCGTACACAAACAACTTATAAACAAGGAAACTTAACTAGCAGACGTTTGAGCACATTTCATGCGGTTGGCAAACGGAGCTGCGGCAGTTTGGTCTCCGTCTCTTCCGAAAGCCGGTACTGACATGCAGATGGCTTACTATGTTTTTTCTAATACTCTGCATCGCAAACACAAGCGCTCATATATACGGGCATACACTCACCTCTATGAACGCACACATGCACATCCTACACCTATGAGCACCATCGGAAGACTGAGCCGACGTATCATCTTAAGATTTTAGGAAAGTCATCGGAAGCGCCTCATAGTCGACAGGAACGTGTTCTCCCACTGACACATTGCCGGAAATCCTGAAATAAATACAGGATAAATGCGAGCACCAGGACTTGAACCATGGTCTGCCTACCTAACTATCCAACCACAGGTTTATTCGCAACGGCCTACTATGTTATGCTGATGAAAAGTGTGGCAACGGGCCATCAAGAACCACGGTTGATCCAGGGTGCATGAACATCAACTGAACTAAAACCAAGAAAAATATCTTCAATGAAATAAGGCTGGTCATAATGGGGATTGGGAGTATCATATATTAGTATCATGCATATGATGCTAGTGTATGATACCATCCCTAGTGCATAGTATCATGTATGGGAAACGATTGCCCTCGGCCGACTGATAACCACGGTGCGTCCGCCGCCTCCATTGCGTGTCATGCGTCCTCGGCATAAAGGCAAGTGCAAGCATCTTTTCAACAACAACGGTGTTGTTGCAAATCTTGACGGCGCACGGCTACTGTGATGCAACGTGACTTCATTATGTAGAAATATAATCCTGCAACAAGTCCTTTGTTGCAAAAAAAAAATTAATCCACAACAAGAGGGTTGTTGTAGAAAAATTCTAAAAAATATCTACAACAAGATGTCTGTTGTAAAAAAACTGCAACAAGACATTTGTTGCTGAAAATTCTGCAGCAAGATGTCTGTTGCAACGAATTTTCACAACAAAGCATGTGTTGCAGTGGTGGATGATAACGCTCGGCCACTCGATGCGTCAAATCTGACGGCTTGCGCCCGGCCGATCTTTTAAAAAGATCAGCCGGTGAACGCGTAGCGCACCCCATCATGTATTTGAACATAGCTTTCAATGATATAAATTTTTATGACATGCAAGAACATTTTGTTAGTTAAATCTATGGTCAAAATTTGGCATAAAATACAATGAGGACCAATAAACTAGGACGAAGGTAGTATGATACTTCCATTACGACCAGCCTAAGATGTATATTTGGCTGGTGACAGGAAGTGGGAATTCTTTCGGGTGACCATGACAATGGCACGATTGAAGCTTTCAATAAAATTCTCGCTTCAATCAAACAAAAAGGAAACAAATCTTGATCGTTCAATTTACATAACTGACTCAGTCTACAGCTTGGATTGAATTTGAAAGTACTGTAAGCCACATGGCTTGGATAGGAATACTGTAACCAAATGGAGCACGAGCGGTTCAGTTGCCAAAAATGTTCTAACCGTAACCAAATGATACTACTGATGCATTTTGAAATCCCTGCTTCTTGATTGTAAGTTTCATATAGGAAGTAACAATGGAACCGTCACTAGTCATCCATTAGCCGAAAGCTTGGCGATGATATCTTTGACAGCCGAAGAGCATCATGCAGCAAGACTGTCCAGCACACCCATCACCATGGCTTTTTGCCGCCTGAATGAAAGGAAAATAAGGCTAATGACGCAATGTTTAGTAAAAGGCAGAGTGCAACACATGACTCTGTTGCTTTTCTAAACAGGGAAATAAAAATTTATAAATGATGAGCATGATACATCATTTTTTGGGCCAAAGCACACATGAACAACCTAGAAACATAGATATGAAAAAAGTGTATCTAGAAAAATACAGTAAAAACTAACCTTTTATAGACTTTAAGAAGCGAACTTAGCAATGAGCTCCTTTAGAAGGGAAGGACAGGTTTTAGTTATATCCTCCAAGCCGTCAGCCGCGGTTATCTCCTTCAAATTGGCGGGAGTCTTGATGAATTCAAAGCAAACCCCCTTCAACCCATGACAATTATGCTGCTCGGCTAGAGTAAGAATAGTCGTCACCGAGCTCACATCTATGTGTTCACACAGCTTCTCTTCACATAGTCCTTTGAGCCTTTGGAGATCATATTTATCCGCTGCTGCAAGCAAGTGTTGCAGCCACAATGCTTCCTGGGCTTCTCCTTCCTCATCCCCCATGTCTATCTCCATCTTGGGCAGTGAGTCGGTGTAAATAAAATCAAGCAAGGCCTTAAACACCTTTGCTTCCATGTCTTCTACATCCATGACACTTCCTGTTGTGCTCTCTTTCATGGGGCCAAACAACTCTGCCTTGAAGACTGCAGACCGAGCTGCAAGCACGCATCGGTGGGCAGCGAACATCTCACCACTCACCCTGAATGCCACATCAGTGCCCTCTTTGAACAGGAGGAAGTCGCTGATATGTTGTTGTATGCTACAAGGCGGTACCTTGATGAAGAGATCAATGGTACCAGCAATGGTGATGTCACATCGGATGGTGAAGCAGTCGTCCTTTAGATGCTTTGATTTCTCAAGGGCGTCTCTTTTCATGAAACTCTTGTAACCCCAATATGGAATTGTAGTGGAGAAATTGTTTGGCTCTACCGAACGAATATATGCCGAATTTTGCTTCTCAAGCTGGTCGACAAAACTAAAGTCGTACATCACCGTTACTGCCTCAGCAATATTTCCATCGAGAAAAAGAAAAAGAGATATAGAGTCGGCATGCTCCGAGTGTTTGCCATTAGGGTAGTAGCAGATGCGCCAACGATGGCCTCCTATCATGAAAGGGAGAGAGAAGATCGTCTTGCCATTAGGTGTAGTGGCTTTGGTGTGCGAGTACCGATTAACCACGAGCAGGTGGTAGCCGCTGGTCGTGGAGACGTCGATGGCATGGCCGACGGCCTTGCCGTCGCCGACGAGCGAGACGCCGGCAAATGACATGGCAGATGAGCAAAGACAGACGCACCCCGCAAACTCCGCCGACGCTCGTGTACAAGTACTTCGTCAGAGTTCACGAACGAAGACAGACGCACCCGGGACGAACAGGATTTGGTCCTCTGCCAAGCTATTTGCTTCTGTCAATGGTTGACTCACATCATGATTCCTGTGTGTATAGACGCCAACATACAGCACCATAACACAATAGGATTCTAGTAACTTGAAGCCGTGACGGACATGAACTGCACCAACACACGCGTACACAAACAACTTATAAACAAGGAAACTTAACTAGCAGGCTCTCAATCAGGACACGGATAAGTTTTTCTTTTTCTTTTTTTGATGGCACGCGGCGCTCCGGCAGCGGGCCGGACACCAAAATAAATCTTGATCGTCCAGTTCACAATAACTGACTCGATCTGCAGTTTGGATCGAATTTGAAAGTAGCAAGTCACGGAATACTGAAACCGATGCAGTACAAGCTATTGAGTTGCCAAACTGTTCTAACCAAAATCAAATGAGTCGATAGTAGTGGCCGTATGCATCTTTCTGATGCAGAGGCCGGGGTTATATCCCTTTTCCAAAAAAAAATGAGTCGATAGTAGTGGTGCATCTTGGAATTCCTCATACATATCTGCAGTTGATCTCTCTCTAGACCAAAATACACCTTCTTGAGCACATGTTACAGACAGGAACAAAGGAACAAACCCATGACATCCTTCAGCGAAAGTTTGGTGCAGATATCTTTGATAACTGGAGGGCATCATCATGAAGCTAGACTGTCCAGGTCTCCCGTCAACATGACTGTATGCCAACTGAGTTCGCACCTGAAGGAAAGAAAAAGAAGATTCATGTCGCAACTGATTAAGAAAAGACACATTTTTTTTTGGCCAAAGCGCACATTATGCATCCAGTTAAATTTCTGCCACAACATGAAGTCATACCGAATGGTGCAAAGAAATAAAAAATGCAACCTTTAGAAGAGAAGGACAGGTTATTTTTGATACGGTAAAAACTTACTGGTTTTATAGATTTTACGAAGCAAACTTAGCAATGAGCTCCTTTAGAAGAGAAGGACAGGTTCTAGTTATGTCCTCCAAGCCATCAGCCGCAGTTATCTCTTTCAAATTAGCAGGAGTCTTGATGAACTCAAAGCAAACCTCCTTCGATCCACCACAGTTGTGCTACTCAGCTTGTGTAAGAATAGTTGTCACTGAGCTCACGTCTACGTGTTCACACAAATTCTTTTCACACAGTGCTTTCAGCCTCTGGAGATCATATCTATCCGCCGCTGCGAGCAAGTGTTGCAGCCACAATGCTTCCTGGGCTTCTTCCTCATCCCCCGTGTCCGTCTCCATCTCAGGCAATGAGTCGGTGTAAATGAAGTCAAGCAAGGCCCTAAACACCTTCGCTTCCATGTCTTCTACATCTATGACACTTGCTATTGTGTTGTCTTTCATGGAGCCAAACAGCTCCGCCTTGAAGACTGTAGATCGAGCTGCAAGCACGCATCGGTGGGCAGCAAACTTCTCACCACACACCATGAATGTTACGTCAGTGCCCTCCTTGGACATGAGGAGATTGGTGATATGCTGTTTGATGCTAGAAGGTGGTACCTTGATGAAGAGATCAACTGTGGTGGCAATGGCGAGGTCACATCGAATGGTGAAACAATCATCTTTTAGATGCTTTGATTTCTCAAGAGCGTCTTTTTTTATGAAACACCGGCGACCCCAAGATGTAGTACTGCTTGAGAAGTTATCTGCCTTTCTTGCACGAATATATGTTGAATCTTGCTTCTCATGCTCGTCGACAAAACTAAAAATGGACTGCACATTCAGAGCCTCTGCAACATTTTCATCAAGAAGACATAGAAAGAGAGATATTGAGTCCGCACACTCTGAGCGGTCGCCATTAGGATAGTAGCTTATGCGCCAACGATGACCTCCTATCATGAAAGGGAGAGACACGATCTTCGTGCCATTGGATACAGTGGCTTTGGTGTGCAAGTAGCGGTTAACCACAAGCAGGTGGTACCCACTGGCACTGGGGATGTCGATGGCGTGGCCGACGGCCTTGCTGTCGCCGACGAGAGACACGCCGGCAAATGACATGGCAGATGGGCAGAACTTGACTGAAATTTGATACTATGTGTTGGGGAGCGAATTGGGGTGTCAGATTAGCACTCGCCCTCCAGTCCACTCGCTATATATGGAGGACAAGGGCGTAAAGAGGTTGAATTCGTAAGGGAGGACTGCCCCGGCCCCTCGTCCTCCTGGCGTGTAAGTTATGGCAGCGTGATTCCAGAGCACGTTCACACGTCTGCATGCGTGCGCTTGGGAAACGGAGCTGCGGCAGTTTGGTCTGCGTCTCTTCGAGAGCCGGAACTGGAGCAGTCAATCGCCTCCACTTCCCGGGGAGATGAACAGATGGCCTGTGACATGCAAACGGCCTGGTTGATTGCACATGACATTGACATGGAAAATCATTGTAACGATATGCTGATCCACGTCGCATGAACATCAGCTGAACTAAACCCAAGAAAATTTTAGAGTTAAATATACTAGAGGTGCCCCAACTTGTCCTGCATGGTCAGTTTAGTGCCTAAAGTTGTAAAATATACGAAATCGGTGCTCGAACTTGTCTAGTTGTGCAAATACGGTGCCTCCATCTGTATGCAGACGTACGTCCAGCCTTGTGGCATGTCAGTGTGGCAGTGGCCTACCTGTCAGTGTCTAAGAGCGCGGAACATGCTGGGTGCTCCATGCATGAGGATTTATTTTGCAGAAACCCCTTCATATTTTACTTAATCACGTAAAAAAGACTTCAAATACAACGTATGGTAGCGAGAACTAACATGATGCATTATCTATCACGTATCGCTCTCCAATTTTCATAATGCATTATCTATCAGTTTTATTTTTATTTTGTCAAAGTTCTTGTTTTGTTTCATGACACATAATTTTTCACATACAAAAAATACAACATGCAATTATTCAGTATTTTAAATCTTTTTTTGTTTTCATTATTGTGTACTTTGAAGAGGTAGGCATGAACTTTTTCAGAATTTATGGGGCTTTAAATAGTTGAACCAATATTTTTTTATAAATTTATGTATGTTCATTCTGGACAACAAGCACACACACAATCATTGTTTATCTTCATTGTATTTCTAAAATAACCAAATTTTAACAAATTGACAACATAGTATTTGTAAACTATTCAACATGTATTAACAAGTATTGAGTTGAACTTTTAATACAATTATTTAACATGTTACGTTATAATTTTTTAATACACATTGAGTTTGTTTAATACACATTGTGAATTTTTAGTGCACGTGATGAACTTTTTCCAAATGCACTAAAACTTTGTTTAAGTTTATCGAAGTTTTAATTTATTATTACTCCATCGGATCCATAGTAATTGATGCTAGTTTAGTACAGAGTTAGTACAACTTCAAAAAATAATATTACACTTCTGTGGGTGCATGCGCAAAAAAATTCAGAATTTCTTTAGCTGTAAAAATCCGTTTCTTTGAACTTCAAAACAAGCAACACAATGTACATGTGCTTCAATGCTACCTTTCGCATAGCAATGCAATATATATAGTTCGACATCGTTAATTTTAGATGACTAGAGTATGTCCTCGTAGACAACCTGCGAGTGCACTATAATTTGCTACCACCAGGTCTCATGATCAATCTTGCCTCACGCAATTTTTTTCTCTAAATTTTCATGTTTACATACGTGATTAAATAAAACATGAGGGGGTTTTATAAAAAAATCCTCATGCGCCGGCCACCTAGCGCATTCCCCGCTCTCAGCCACTTACAAGTGGGCCACTGCCACATTGGCACGCCACATGGGTTAGACGCATGTCTAGATACAGATGGAGGCATCGTATTTACACAACCACACAAGTTCGAGCATCAATTTCATGTATTTTGCAACTTTAGGCACTAAACTGATCATGCACGACAAGTTGAGGCACCTGTAGTGTATTTAACTCAAAATTTTATCCAAACACGGAACTACGAAGCAACTGGCACTTTTTCCTTTCCAAAATGGCGCCAGGCACACAATGTTGGATCTGCTCCCTCAGTCCAAAAATACTTGTCATCAAAATAAATAAAAGGGGATGTATCTAGATGTATATTCGTTCTAGATATATCCCTTTTTATCCATTTTGATGACAAAGTATTTTCGGACGGAAGGAGTAGGAGACAAATGGCTCGATAAAGCAAACACGCCCAATTGGAGCTTCTACCGCAAGATATATTTTATTGCCGCGAAGCAAAATTGATCAGCTCTTCACTAGCGCTGACGAAACAAAATAATTCCTACATCGCTCGCTACCTATATCATCGCGCCACAGCAAACATTTCCAGCAAAATAGTAGTCTACCATCTTGCCTACGGATTCACCTGATGCAGCAGATATACGCTAAAAACACAGCCATAGGTCTACCATCTTGCCTACGGATTGATCGGATGCCTTCATTACCACTCAACATGGCAATTACAGGACACACTGATCCACTAGGATCATTACAACAGGAAAACAACAGATTCACAACAGCCTCGCAAGACCCTGGACAGATCTTTGCAACCATACATACATAAAATTCCACTGGGTAGTCTTAGACGGGAGCCTACGGTACGAAGACCATAGTAAACATAGTTTGCCCTTATTGGAAGATCCACTAGTCCTTTGTGCAACATGTACTTATCTAACTCCGGAAGAGGGGCAAAATTGTTTCAACTGTGGCTGCAACACCACATGTATGCTGCTGGTTCATGATGCGACAAACGTTCCGCTGCTTCTGTTCATCAAAGATAAGCTCATCAGATTACGACCTAGGCATACATTTAACAGGATCTACAGGTGGATGAGAAAGAAATGGTTCCAGCAGTTGTTGTGGTGAGCCTTATCCAGATTTCATAGACAAAAATCAAATAAGAAAAATAAGCTCAGTAATTCAAAATCATGTGAGGAAAGAG